GATACCAATCTATAAAGTCCTCTTCAGACTCATGAAACACATGCAATGATGTTGAATGCAGAAAGATCACAGGCCAGTCGGTGGCAAGTCTTGTGGATCAAGTGGTGTTGTAAGCATCTCAGCACTGGCAAGGGTCTCCATATGGCTTCTCCGATTCCAGAGGTCTGGCTCCATCAGCCTCTCTCCATGTGTCGTCTCCACAGAGATGTCTAGCGGGGAGTGAGCAGAGAGAGTGTCTCCCACCTCCAAGGAAGAAATACAGGAGTTCCCAGAATCCTCAGGAGAAGGTCATGCCCACACAGAAACCTCATTGGCTATGACTTGATTGACAGCTTAGACTCCACCCCTTCACTCTGAATTCTCAAATGGACACCAGATTACGTAACTACCACAGGGGCTGTGTGACATGGAGAAGGACCTGCTTGCTGGCTTGCACTGACTGCCAAGAGAAGCTGAGAGAACTGCCTTGAACTGAGGAGGGGTGGGGGTGGCCACCACTGCAGGGTAATCTTCCAGACTTTGCAAGCGTGCTTCCTGCGCCTGCTCCTGGGTTGTAGCCTATCGGTCCTCATCGTGAGCTGTAACCTGGTCCACAGTTGCACTCTGTTGCTTCCTGAATAAACCACTTACCTGTCGGTATGGCCGGTACGTTCTATGCAGCCATGGCAATGAATGATTGGTCCATAAGAGAAGTCGAGAGTGCTGTAGGAGGGGCAGGTGCTATGCAAATTGAGTTTTTAAAAGAGAGAGAGTTGGAGAGTGGAGGTTTATCTGACTTTGACCTCATAAGAATAAGCTTTGTGATTCTCTCTCCTTTGTCCCTGCTCGCCCTTCTTATTGATCAGCAACAAAAATGCTTTTTTCTTCTTTGTTATATTTATTGCCTCCTCTTTACTTCAATTAGAATGCAAAAGAAATGCACTCAAAAATTCACTGCCAGCAAGTCAATTCGGACTCATAGCGACCCTACGGGACCGAGTAGAATTATCCCTGTGGGTTTCTGAGACTTTAACTCTTTGCGGGAGTAGAAAGCCCAAGGCCACTGTTTTCACTAGAAGTATGCTGAGACACACGTTGGCTCTCTGCTAACGAGATCAACATTAAAAACCGTATTTGGATTCAGCCTAGATCGTGAAAAGGGCCCTGATGGCATAGTGGTTATACGTTGGGCTGCTAACTGCAAGGTCAACAGTTCAAAACCACCAGCCGCTCTGCGAGAAAAAGATGAGACTTTCTACTCCTGTAGTGTTACCATCTTGGAAATTCACCGACACAGTTCTACCCTGTCCTGTAGCGCCGCTATGAGTTGGCATCAACTCAATGTCAGTGAGTTTGTTTGTTTGTTTGTTTGTTTGTTTGTTTGTTTGTTTGGATAGCGAAAAGAACAGGTATTCTAGAAAAAACGCTTGCATAATTCGATAGGATGGCAAGGGTTTGTGAAAGATATTGTGCCTGAGAGTGACTGCAGTGACTGAGGGTTGTCACCAGGGCAGTGGGTCTCTGTAGGGCCGTCAGAGTGAGGAGAAAACATCTGATTGAGGATCTGCGGGGTGAAAGGCAGGTGTGTACGGACTTGATTGGGGGCGGATATTCCAGGAAGAGAGAGCACCACGTGCAAGGTCTTGATGAAGGGTGATGGCTCCACATGTTGGAGGCACTGGGAGAGAGGAGTGCGGCTGCAGCCTGCCGTGCAATCCCACAGCCCTGCATGTCTGCATGGCAAACAGGTTCGGGGAGAACTTGCGTGTTTAAGGAGGAGACTGTCTGTTTTCACACCAATCCTCTCAATTTCCTCCGGCTTCTGCTCTCTCGGACTTCTGCTTTTTGACCACCCACCCAATTCTTCAGTTAAAAACTGCTTTATGCTGAGTTTTTCGATTCAAATTCTTACAACCGAGAGTCTAGTGGATGCATTCATGATTTTGGACCAACCCATCTTTGTATACCAACCCAGGTGGCTGCTGGCCAGTCCACGGAATTAATTTGTCTTGGGGAGCTGCCCACCTCTTGTCCAGTCAAGGCATCACCTGGTCCTGGCTAGCCATGATCAGAGCTAACAGAACTTGAAGAAAGGGGCATGCTCAGTGTCCTGTGTGATCACGTTTCCACGCATCCTAACCATGAACTTCAATGCAGAACATCATGCCTTCCCCTCTCCATATGGAATGCCCAGCCCCAGGCCCAGAGAGAAGTGGACAGCTGCACACTGTGGACCCTCTTGGTGGGTTCCTGGGGAAGAGGACACTTGTATCCCCTGCACCCTTTCATGACGTCCCACTAATCTGCTGGTGAGAATTTGGCATTCACTAAATGTTGGACTACTCACCCGAAAGTCAGCGGTTTGAAACCACCAGCTACTCCAAGGGAGAAAGACAAGGCTTTCTACTCTTGTAAAGAGTTACAGTCTAGGAAGCCCACAAGGTCTCAAGGAGCCAGGGTCGACTCAATGGCACTGACTTTGAGGGGGAGTGGGGGAGTAGGATCTATTAGACTTTTTTATAATAGCTATTTTGTAATGCCCCTATCTGCCCTAAAAATAAATTTCATAAGCAGTGTACCTATATACTCCCATAATTTCAAGAAAAAGTCTAATCAAGCCCTGGAAATACTGTCACCCAAACCAAACACACTACCGTTGAGTCATTTCCAACTCACAGCGACCCTTTCTGAAGCTGTGAATCTTTTCTGAAGCAGAGAGCCTCATCTTTTTCCCCTGGGGTGGCTGGTGGGTTCAAACTCCCAACCTTGCAGCTAGCAGTCTAATGCCTAGTCTGCTGTCCACCAGGGTTCCTTACTGCAGACTCAAGGGGCAGCACAAACACCACACATCGTGTTAGTTGTCTGCCTCTGGATTTTTCAAAATGATGAGCAACTTGGACAAAGTTCTAACCAAAATTATGTCTTTCGACTTTCAGAGTCGTTTCATTCCTGGAAAATTCAACTTGCATTAAAATGAAGAGCAATATACATGCAATACAGACTAAGATTCTGAGATCAAAAAATTATAGCCGGTTCCTCACCTGTATGAGTGCCTGGCAAAGCATTTTAATTTTGCTTGGGAAATGGACAATATATTTTGGACCACCGAGTGCCTGTCTGGTATCCTGGTCCCCGATCCGCTCAATTCCAGAGTTAGTTGCTGTGGAGTTGGTTCTGACCCATAGGGACGCCACATAGGCAGTGTGCGTGGTTCTGTAGAGTTTTGGAGGAAACAGCACAGGCCCTATCTTCGAAGACACCTCTGGGTGGGTTCAAACAGCCAACCTTTGAGCCAGTAGTCAAGCCCTTAACTATTTGAGTCACCCAGGGCACTCCAAACATTTGGCAAAAAATACTTCCAGGAAATTCCCACACTAACCACCAGAGGACAGCATCTCCCTGTTGAGAACCAGTGGGTCCCCATTAACAACAATGCAGACCGGCAGCTTACCCTGCAGGAGAGAGCAGAGCTGCCTCTATGTGTTCCCCCAAAAGGTTCTCTATAGAGAGGCCGTAACCCTTTAAAGGATGAGAAAGCCTCATCTTTCTTCTGAGAGTCATTAACGGACTCCTGGAAAAGGAATGTGTCTTTCTCTGGACTGTCTATTCTGTGTGACACAAAAGGATGTATCATAGACAGGGTAGTTTCTTAAATTCACCTACGTTGTCAACAATAAATAGATAGATAGATAGATAGATAGATAGATAGATAGATAGATAGATAGATAGATGAAAACAGTAAGTTTTTTAAGAGTGTGCTTTTTTTCTACATGGATTTTTTTTTTCTTACTTTTTTTTAAAATCATTTTACTGGGGCTCATACAATTCATCACAATCCATACATACATCAATTGTGTAAAGCACA